GTATTCGTTGACATCAGAAAAGTGGCAAAAAATGTTCATTGACATCACAAAAAATAGTGTACATAAACAATTTATTAAATAAATAATGTTTATTATATTTGTTGTCAATTCTCTAGAACAAAGAGAATGTATAAATTCCCTTTCATATGTTTATGTTTTATTAAAATTCTAATCATCCCTTTTTAAAACATTGCCAAGAAGTGATGTCAAGAGGAAAACCATCCTTTTGTCACTCTGATTTTTGCAGGTACAAAGGTCCAAGTTTTTTAAAATTAAAGTCATGGACAATTTTTGAAGGTCCAAGTTTTGTAACCTTAAAGTCATGGACACTTTTTGAAGGTCCAAGTTTTTTAACCTTAAAGTCATGGACACTTTTTGAAGGTCCAAGTTTTTTAACCTTAAAGTCATGGACAATTTTGAAGGTCCAAGTTTTTTAACCTTAAAGACATGGACAATTTCATCATGTTTTATTCTCTTAGATTTTGGTTTGTATGGTCAAAGCCTGGACTCTTGTGCAGTTTTCAGTGGATCACTCTTCTCACCCATTTTTAGGATTCCTCCTTGAATTATTATTTTCTTAGTGTTCCTCCATATTCTGGATTCACAACGTCAAATGACTGCTTGATAAATAACAAATGAATGGGCATCAAAATTAGCTTTTATAAATCTCCTGTTAATTATAGTAAATTTTTCCTCTTTTTTTTCTGTGTGCAAAATATGACACATTGATATATAGAAATATGCTAATACATAGATTCAACACTAAATGGAATCTGGAAATCTTATCAATAGGTAGCTGTGACAGCAGTGTTTACGGGGAATAAGTCTGGTAATATAGACATGGTTTCCCTATCACTATCATATAATAATCATATATACCATATATAAATTAACTTAGTTGAAATGGAAAATAACTATTAGCACCATTATTCAACGATCATCAAAAGAGAAAGAGAGAGATTGTGAACTTAGGAATCAACACCACATAGTGACTCAGTTTCATGCCTTAAGACCACATGTCACTCGTTGGTGGCAGCTTTATCAGCAGGTAGCTGTGACAGCAGTGTTTACGGGGCTAAGTCTGGTAATATAGACATGATTTCCCTATCACTCTAATATAAATTAGAACTAATGAAATGCAATATTTGTCATTTACCAATTTGTAAAGAAATAAATTCGAAAACAATTTTATTCTTAAATTTATAAACATTTACTAAATTATTAAGATATGTGAAACATCTGTAAGGAAATCCTTATTATTTACCATTTTATAAAGTCTGAATCAACTTGCAATTAGCTGATGTTTTGCCAACCATTCCAATAAATTATATAAGTGTTTATTATTTTTGTTGCCAATTCTCACGAACAAAGAAAATGTATAAATTCACTTTCAAATGTTTAGGTTTTACTACAATTCTAATCATCGCTTTTTAAAATGTTGAACTTTGTCGAGGAGTGAAGGTAGTTAAAATAATAGCGGTGTCAACGGAACAACCGTCATTTTGACACTCATGTGGTCTGGTGCTTCTGCTATATACCTTAGGAATATATAAAAAATAACCAGAAGAAGAATTTGCAATAATATCAGTCCCGACTTGGCATCTCGTCTTTCAATCAATTTCACACCGCCGTAATGTAGCTTCTGTGTCTTGCAAACCGATGTTTGTGGAACCAACTCCCAAGAGGGTGCTTTCGCAATTACTACAATCTTTAGCTGTTCAAATCTAGGGTTAATCTTTATCTTCCCGGCATATCTGTATAAATTGCACCTCTTACTCTGTAACCCTCTACATCGAGTGGCTCTTGTATATTGTAACGAGTGAACCTGATAATTCATGACAGTTCTTTAGATTAGATTTCCATCTTATTTCATTTATCGACTTGCTTCTGAGGGTGGGGGGGGTTTCAGAGGAAAACAACACATGCCATATTTAATGCGCTTGCATGGTGGCACAGGGCTTAGGAGCAATAACAGAAAAACAAAGTATATTAAGACCTACGAGCAGCAGGAAATTGTGGAGAGCCGTGATCGTCTACATCCTGAGGGAACACGGAACAAAGAAGAAGTATGAGCTTGATTAAATGGATGGCACAACAGGGGTTAGGAGAAATAACAGAAATACAAAATTTATTAAAAGGTACAAGGGGCAGGAAGTTGTGGAGAGCAGTGATCGTTTACGTCCTGAAAGGACACGGCACATAGAAGATGATGGATTAAATGGATTACACGACAGGGTTAAGGAGAACTAAAAAATAAAAAGTTTATTAAGAGATACAAGGAATAGGAAATTGGGGAGAGCCATGACCGTCTATATCCTGAGGAGACACGACACATAGAAGTAGAAGAATGAGCTTAGGAGAAATAACAGAAATACAAAGTATATTAAGAGCTACGAGGAGTAGGAAGTTGTGGAGTGCCGTGATCGTCTAGACCCTGAAGGGACACGGTGCACTGAAGAAGAGTGAGCTTGGATAAATGAATGGTGGAACAGGACTTAGGAGAATGAACAGAAAGACAAAGTTTATTAAGAGCGACAAAAGAGAAGGAAGCTGTGGAGAGCCATGATCGTCTACGCCCAGAGGGGACACGGGACAAGGAAGAAGAAGAGTGAGCTTGGATAAATGAATGGTGGAACAGGACTTAGGAGAATGAACAGAAAGACAAAGTTTATTAAGAGCGACAAAGAGAAGGAAGCTGTGGAGAGCCATGATCGTCTACGCCCAGAGGGGACACGGGACAAGGAAGAAGAAGAGTGAGCTTGGATAAATGAATGGTGGAACAGGACTTAGGAGAATGAACAGAGAAAGACAAAGTTTATTAAGAGCGACAAAGAGAAGGAAGCTGTGGAGAGCCATGATCGTCTACGCCCAGAGGGGACACGGGACAAGGAAGAAGAAGAGTGAGCTTGGATAAATGAATGGTGGAACAGGACTTAGGAGAATGAACAGAAAGACAAAGTTTATTAAGAGCGACAAAGAGAAGGAAGCTGTGGAGAGCCATGATCGTCTACGCTCTGAGGAGACACAGCATATAGAAGTTGAAGAATGAGCTGGACTAAACGGATGGCGAGACAGGGTTTTGAGAGAAATACCAATTTTTTTAAGAGCTACACAGAACAGGAAGTTATGGAGAGCCATATTCCCCAACGTCCTGGAGGGACACGGCACGTAAAGAAGAAATAAAATGATTAAAAACGTATAAAATCATAGTAGGTGAAGATAACGTTTCCCTATTGAAAAGTATGGCTGTCCAAAAGGGGCGATTTTTTTGTTTGGTTTTGTTTAGCGGCATATCAACCTCTATTGGTTATTCAATGCCAAAATCTAAATATTTTGAATACAATTGTATACCATATATTGTATTGTATCGCTGATTATTTATTCTCGTTCTTTTTATAGAAAACTGAATTTTTAAATTATCATGGTGTTTTTTTTGGGGCGGGGGCACTATTTGTCCATAGCTGGGACCCTAAAATTTACTACCAGTTGGGGTCAGGGTGGACCTGGGTACAACAGCAATTAAGAGGTGGTTCCAGACTCCTCAAAAACTCTAATCTCCCGATCAGAAACCTTGCTGCCGGATGCAGTTTATCGTCATACCCAGAACACAAAAAGGGCGTAAAATCATATCAGGTGAAGACAATGTTTCTCCATTGAAAAGTATGACAAGATCATAGACTTATTCATCTTTATAGACTTACAGCCTCATTTTTGATGTTAAACAAAGTCGAGCCTGATCAGTACCAAGATGGGTGTTCACTTGTGAATAGCAGGTGCTGTATTTTTCTATTTTCATCGTGTTTTTGTTTAGGGTGTCACTATTTGCCTTTAGCTGTGGTCCTAACAGGTGTTACCAGTTGGGGGGGGGTCAAGGTAGACCTGGTAACAACAGCAATTAAGAGGTGATTTCACGCCCCTCAAAGGCTCCAATCTCCTGATCAGAAGCCTTGCTGCTAGATGTAGTTTATCGTCACACCCAGAACGCAAAAGGGGCATAAAATCATATCAGGTGAAGACAACGTTTCTCCATTGAAAATTAAGACTGTCCAAAAGGGGCGTAAAATTATAGATGTCTCTAATGACTAGATAATGATAATAAACTTTTCGAAGAAGGTTTACATTTTCGTTTTTATCTGTTAATTTTCCCATCTCTAAATCCGATACATTTATCACTAATTTCTCTATTTGTTAGAGGTTAATTTATCTGCGCGGCACTTCAAGAGATAAGAAGATTAAATATTATTTCATGAAGGATTTCGATTCGACTTCTCCACTATACATGAAAAGGCATGAAGTCACAGCCTCTCTAATACTTTAAGACGATTTTAGAGCCCCAAATAAACCATACAATAAACTTTATTTTCTTTTTTGGTCCGGGTAGATATGAGATTTTCTAACACAGACAGTATAGGGGTGTGTCGTCTAGGGTGGGTCATGTCTTATGACTAATGTCTGTATCGAGCACTGCCGATAAGGATTGGTTTCGGAAACAGATAAGTACTTAAGCTGTCAATGCTGATTTAAATTGAATAATGAAACAACAACGAAATAACATTGAAAAGTATATTTCAAACATGACAAAGAGAAAAAAATGGTCGTTTGATTTAGTTTTTTTAGACGGCTTATCAACTGTTTGCAGGTTATTTAAGACCAGAAAATATTTTCAGATTGTAAGAAATAATTTTAAGGTAATCAGGATTTACTTAATCCTGCTAATTAACCCATAGCTGATGGGGGTGGTGATATGGATTTGTGCCTTTACAAAGGGGATTTGCGTGTAAGAAAATATAACAAATTCAATTAGAACTCGCCCCCACCCGATTTCGAATTCAGAGCCGTTAGCCATTGTGATATCCTACATCCAACCTTATAGCACCTGGCATTGCTAAGCAGTCACCCATCTAGGTACTGTACAGGCTCGACGTTGCTTAATTTTGATGACCTCACGGGAGTTCCAATGTGATGTGAGTATAAATCATACCTGCTGCACATCCACGGTCACAGCACCTGATATTTCCAAGTGTTCACCCATCCAGGTAGTGACCAGGTTCAACGTTGCTTAACGACGATGATCGTGCGGGGACCGGTGTTTCAACGTGATGTGAGCATAAGCAATACCTGTCAAACAACCAAGCTTACAACACATGGTGTTCTCAAGTGGTTACCCACCAAGGTACTGACCAGGTTCGACGTTCCTTAACTTCGGTGATCGCAGGAGAAACGGTGTTTCAACTTGATGTGATTGTAAACCGTTTCTATCGCATATCCAAACTTACAGCACATGGTATTCTCAAATGGTCACCCATCAAGGTACGAACCAGGTTCGATGTTGCTTAACTTCGATGATCGTTGGGGAACGGGTGTTTCAACGTGATGAGGCCGTAAGCCCTTAAAGATGAATAAGACTATCATCCTGGGTATGACGATAAACTACATCCGGCAGCATGACCTCTGATCGGGAGATTGGAGATTTTGAGGGGCGTGGAACCACCTGTTAATTGCTGTTGTTCCCAGGTCCACTCTGACCCCGACTGGTAGCACCTTTTAGTCACAGTTATCGGCAAAGAGCGAACCCACAAAAAAAATTCACCTGTAAATTTTTATAGTAAAATTACCAACAATATATTTCATGATCTACATTATATATATATATATATATATATATATATATATATATATATATATATATATATATATATATATAAAAGTGAACATAGAAGTCAACACTTAGAGGCGACAGTCTGTTTCATGCTATATGCAATCGTCAGGCCATATATATATATATATATATATATATATATATATATATATATATATATATATATATGGATATAGATGGATATAAGATATGAAAAAATAAATTTTAATATGCAATTAGTTACAATTATATTACATTAAAACAAAAAATATAGGATTTCTGTTTGGTATAAAAATATAAAATATATATATATATATATATATATATATATATATATATATATATATATATTAGAAAAGAACATTAAAACAGCATTTATCGAATTGTTTCAGTTTTGAAACATGAGAATTCCGGTGTGGCGATGATTACATTTTAAAACAAACAATTATAATATATATATATATATATATATATATATATATATATATATATATATCAATTTGTCTTGTCTAAAGAATTGATCTGGGAATTTAACTATATATATATTGAGATATTTTTTATACGTTCCTTTTATAGATACAAATATTTAAGTATGTGCTCTGTTTATAATAAACAGCATTAACTGACCCAAATGTCCGAGAAATTTTCATAGAAAATATGCGTCCTCCGTCAGGAATCGAACCTGTATTCTATACGGAACCGTCATATAACCTGACGTGCTTTCACCGATTGAGCCATAGAGGAGTGTTTCGGTTAGCAAGGTCGATTTTACTGTTTTTAGACTGCAATTCTCCATGGTTTTCTCTCGTGCATTCATATCTGCTCGATGCCTATCCAAATGTAAACAAATGACGTCACACATTATGAAATGGACGCTGAATTTCTATGAAAATTTCTCGGTCATTCAGGCCGGTAAATGTCGTTATTACTGTTTATTATTTATTGTTTAACAGAGCATTTACTTTAATATTTGTATCTACAAAAAGAACGTATAAAACTTAAAAAATGTCTTAAAATATAATTGTCGGACTTGTCCATTTCATGAAATGTGACGTCATATATATATATATATATATATATATATATATGACGTCACATATTATTAAAATATTTTGTATGTAATTTTATACTTTCAGAGTTTATACATATCTATCTATCTATCTATCTATCTATCTATCTATCTATCTATATATATATATATATATATATATATATATATATATATATATATAATAAATTAATTGATTTAAAATATGTTTTTTTCCGCTACACAGTTCTAACCATATTTCAAAATGGAAGGTCCAAATTTAATTTTTGTAATTAAATTTTAGTAAAATCCGACAAAACTGGAAACTTTTATAGAACAACCATAAAGGAATACAACGACCTAATAAATAAGGACTTACATAAGAACTACAAGAAAGCGAATAAAAATGACCTCAACATAGTTCGGGATATCAACACTAGTAGTAAAGAAATCACTGATAAACTGAAGATCAGTGATAGGGTAGGTCAACTATATCAAAAAGAATGCTACATAACCTTAAAGTACCATAAACCAGATTTTGAGGCAAATCCCACTACAAGGATAATAAATCCAACAAGACCGGATATCGGAAAAATAAGTAAAATGATCATTGAAAGGGTAAATAAACAAATTAAAGAAAAAATAAGCCTGAAACTTTGGATTAATTCCAAGGAAGTGATAAACTGGTTTACTTACATAAAAGAAAAAAACAAACAACTGTTCACTAATGCAGTTTGATATTGATAATTATTACCAATCAATATCTAAAGAACTATTTAAGAATGCGTTGGACTTTGTCACCCACTATACGGATATTACAAGTAAAGCAAAGAACATTATCCTATATGCGAAAAAATCAGTACTTATACATAAAGGTGAGCAATGGATTAAGAATTCTTATGACCACTTTGATATCACAATGGAATCACTAGATTCTGCTGAATCTTCTGATCTCATTGGTCTTTTTATTTTATACAACCTTACAGCGCACCCTGATATCAATATAACTGACATTGGTTTGTACGGAGACGATGGACTTATGGTTATTAGAAACTCAACTAACTTCAAAATAGATAGAATGGTGTTATATAAACAATTTAAAAGCATGGGCTTAAAAATTACGGTTAGTACTAAATTAAAAAAAGTGAACTTCCTAGATATAACATCAGAATTAAATGAAAATACATACACACCTTATAAAAAACCCAACACCAATCATTTATATATACACCCTAAATCAAATCACCCCCCATCTATAATTAAACATATACCGTTATCTATCAGTAAAAGAATTAGTACAAATTCAGCAAATGACAAGATTTTCGATGAGCATATCAATTCCTATAACATAGCTCTAAAAGAGAGTGGCTACAAAAACCCAAAACTAACTTATATAAAAAATGAAAATGAAAACCATAGAAAAAACAGATGTAGAAAAATAATTTGGTATACACCCCCATACAACCAAATGGTAAAAAACAAATTAGGACAAAAATTCTTCGCATTAATAGTCAAGCATTTTCCTAGTGGAAGTAAACTAAGTACTATTTTCAATAAAAATACACTAAAATTGAGTTACAGCTGTACGGAAAACTTAGAAAAAATTATTAAGAAACATAATGCTAATATCTTAAATAAACACTTATACCAAAACAAAAAAAATAAAAACTGATGAAAATAAACAAAAATTATGTAACTGTAGAAACCCTCAAAATTGCCCTCTAGAAAATAAATGTCGCACTGAATCATTAGTATACCAATGCAATATCTCTTCAATTGAAAATCCTGAAAACATAAAAATATATATAGGTTGCACAAGCCATGAGTTCAAAAAAAGATTCAACCAACATCAAAGTTCATTTAGGCTAAATAAATATAAAAATCAAACATCTCTCTCAAAATACTTTTGGCACCTAAAAGAATGAAATAAAACACCCACAGTAAAATGGAAATTAATAAGAAAAGCTAGAATATATAGGTCATTAAATGACCCATGTCCTTTGTGCATACATGAGAAACTATATATTACTAAGTTTATAAAAAACAAAAATTTACTGAATCATAGAAATGAAATAGCTATTTTATGCTGTCATTGTCAAAAATTTTCCTTAAATAATATTTAAAAATAAAAATAAATTTAAAAAAGTGCGACCTAGTAATATACGTACTTATATTTAATGGAAAAAATATTTTTATATGCTGTAAGTAATTCTATTACATCTACAAAAAAAGTCTATTAAAATAACAGTGAAAATACTTTAAAGTTGTATTTAAAATTTTAGTTAAAACGAATTCTAACCTAAACATCTTTTAAAATTGTAGTTAAATAAAACGTATTCTAACCAAAACACCTTTCTCAAAGTACTACCGGTACTTAAAGGATGCAAAGCTATAAGATGTAGGCCTTTGAATGTCCCATGTCCTTTGTACAGACATGTGAAACTATATATTACAAAGTATGAAAAAAAAAAAGATAAATAAAAAATAAAGTTCACTAAATCAGAGAAATGAATTAGCTATTTTTACCGTAATTGTCATAAATTTTACTTAAATAATATTTAAATATAAAAAATTTCAACAATCGTAATATACATACTTATACTTGATATGTAAAAATAATTATACTTACTGTAAGTAATTCTAATACATTTACTTCTTTTAAAAATGAAATATAGTCTATTAAAACTAATAGTGAAAATATTTTAAAGTTGTATTTAAAATTGTAGTTAAATAAAAAGAAATTCTAACCTTAACATCTTTTAAAATTGTAATTAAATAAACCGTATTCTAACATATAGATCTCCCTCTAAGTACTACAAGCACTTAAAGGAATCTAATAAAACACCTACAGTAAAATGAATTTAATATGAAAAGCTAGAAGATGTAAGCCATTGAATGACCCATGTCCTTTGTACTTACATGATAAACAAGATATTACTCGGTTTATATAAAAAATAAAAGGTTACTAAACCAGTGAAATCAATTAGCTTTTTTTGGCGTCATTATCATAAAGTTTACTTAAATAATTTAAAAAAAAATTGTTACCTAATAATATACATACTTATAGTTGATGTGAAAATAACTCTACATACTGTAAGGGATTCCAGTACATTTACTTAATCTTAAAAGAAATATAGTATATTAAAAATTAAAAGTGAAAATATTTTTCAAATTCTAGTTAAATAAGACGTATTCTAACCTAAATACCCCCCCCAAAAAAATCTTTAAATATACAAATAGAAAAATGCCGTAAGAATCTTTGCCGTTAACAATAAAAATTTTTTTAAAAATCCAGACGACATGCATTTAACGGGTATCAGATTTCATTGAAGAATACATCCATACCCCCTACCAAAACGTAACTAATAACTGATACATCAAAATACAGACACCATGAATACGCAAACACCCCTCGTCTGGTTGAAGTGGATTTCTCTGTTTCCTTGGAAACGTGAATTATGATTTTGGCTGTCTTTAAAACCCAGTAATTTTAAAAGTTACTCCAAAATTCGCTTGAGGATGGAACGGAACTAATATCTTTAATTTAATTACAAAATTAAATTTGGACCTTCCATTTTTGAAACATGGTTAGAACTGTGTAGCGGAAAAACCATATTTTAAATCAATTAATTTATAATATTGATGCTCTGTAAATTTATATTGAGCACTATTTTGTAAAAATAAAAATATCTATAAGAACACCGGATTAAATATCTTAC